AGTCATCATTTTTCAACTAGCTAAAGTCTAAGTTACAGGCTGACTTCAGGTCTGGTTTAGATCATTGTTACTTATAAATTATATATTTTTCTGTTTAAATCTGATGTTTTACATGATTGTTGAATAAAATTAACATAGTTATTAATTTATTGTAAAAACATGACAGATAATCTGTGAAACAGATCTGGTTTAGCTTGCTGTTTCTATGGTGGCTGTGAGCTGTTGCCGTTTGGTCTCCGTTTCTGCTACTCCATGCTGTCACAGATGCTAACAGTGGACGGTATGGGCGGGGCTCAGTCTAGTAATCTTATTCAAGTCCATGCTTTCCACAAAGAGCACTGCCCCCTGCTGGAGTGGGAATGTCAGAAWYAGTAGGAGGTCTAATTTATTTTTGATATATACAGCATTTTCAAACAAACTGAAGGTAACATAATTAATAATACCCCCTCTTTAATGAAGCATTTTTAATTGTAAAAAAGTGGCTATTACTCATGAAGTGTAAATATTATAGTCTTGATTAAATTCCAACAAAAACAGTTTGGAGAGGGGTGAACTATAACTCTGCAACAAGTACAGCTGCAAAATCAAGCAAGCTTGGAAACAGCATGGTGAGTGTGGCAGATATAAAAACTCAAAGCTTAGCTGATTACAACGAAACACTGAGGCTACGATTATTTCTGAAGTCTTTTTTAACTGAATAACTGTGATTGTGTTCAGAGATTTTTCATCTCTATTTTTTACCACATTAAAAACATTTTGGTACTCTCTTTTTTATACAGCCCCCACCCCTGTAAGTTTAGCTGTATTATCAGCTAGAACACATTAGCCAGTCAGCACACCAGAGCCTGGAGATTTGTACAAATATCACCATGAAGTATTATCGACCTCAGAGTTTCAGACATCCTTTGCTGCTGAAAAACACTTTTTTAATGTCACAAAAGCTTTACGATCCATTTTAAACACCAGTCTACTGCCAAAAAACCGATCTTGTTTGAAGATGACTGACCAGTGGTATGCTGAATTAAGCACATTTTTTGAATGCCTTCACTTCTTGGTTTGCATAGCTTTAAGCAAGTTTGCAATCTGTATATTTATTCAAAGCCAGCAGTTTTAAATAGCATTCAACATTGCCCACTCAGGCCCCGGGAACACATTTTACTAGGATCACTGCTTTCTCTTTTTGTGAAGCCATTTGAATTTGCAGCTGCAGAGTGTTCTCACTTTGGACAATGCAGGTGAGTAAAGCCAGTTTTAAATTCAAGCTGGTTGGTGGTGAAGTTGGGACTTGACTTGGGAGAAGTGTTTGCTATTACATTAGCTTTGCAGTGAGTGGAAACAGTTAGCTTTTAATGCTGCATGTTTCCAATTTAGAGACACTTGCCAAAACTTTGAAAAGACTATTTGATACAATTACAATTATTGCAAAAGAAGGTGTGAGACTTATAAGGGCAAGTAAAGACAGGCAATATGTAAATAGGGTGAGTAGCTAAACTAGCGGACCTTATATTTACTTATGGGTGACTGAGGAGCAGCACAACTCAAAACACACTGGGAATGAAGGATTTAGAGAAAAATGGAGTGTATTACAACAAAATAATAAGTGAATAGCATCACTAAATAAAGRCAGGGATTTAATGATATTAAGTTAGCCAGAAGGAGCTAGCAATTCCTGTACAAGCAAGGTAAACAGGAAGTGAGACGATAGGCTCCAGTCTTTCATTA